CTTTTCCATACTCCAGTGTTACATCTGTGCCATGGCACACACCACACAATACCGTGATTGCTTGGTTACCTGTTTTCCCTGTTCATCTCAACTCGTTGAGAGCAGGTCCTTGTTCATAAATTCCTAGCACCTGACACAATCCCAGGCAGAGAGAAGCTCAGTTAATGTTGATGAACCAACAAATGAAGAGGAGACTGGGAGCAAGAAAACCGGTTGGCAAGTGGTAGTAATGGTTCAAAAGGGATAGAAATGACCTGGACTCAGCATGACTAGAAGGAAATGATATATAAATGTGGGACATTTGAAAGGAAGATTAAAAAAAAACAAGATTTGTTAATTAAGTGGAAGTGGAAAACAAAGAAAAATTTTAAATCTCAAAACTACACAGGAAGTGGATATCACAACTGGAATAAAGGAATCCTAGACTATTTTGCTGAGCTTTTTTGGTTTTGATTTTTTTTCTTTTTTTGTCCTGTGCAGTATGTGGGATCTTAGTCTCCTAAGGATAGAACCCGTGCCCCCTGCAGTGGAAGCTCAGAGTCTTACGGCTGGACCTCCAGGGAAGTCCCTATTCAGCTTTAGAAAAGCACATTTCAAGGTCCTAGGACAGTCCAGAGTGCTTTCAGACATTCAGAATTAGAGTCAAGGCTCAGAATACACTGGGAACCATTAACATTGAGGCAAACTTTAAAAAGTGGATGAACTCTCCCCTGAGGAAGAGACTATGCACTGACTGGTTGAAGGACTGAAACTTGGAGAATGAAGAGTTCTAGAGAAAAAGAAGCAAAAAAGACAACAGAAAGAACACATTCACAGTATGCTGGACACCAGTGGAGAAGGGCTGCCTGCGGGTAACAGGAAGACAACCCAAGAAAGTCGCCTGAAAAACCGTAACAACTTGAAGTTCAGCACAGTAGTGAGTTATAAAATACAACAGTTGTTTACATCACTGGCTTTCCTCCAGCTGTTACCTGTGAGAAAATATAATGGACAAAAGATCCAATTTTCAATGGCAAAAACCAAACAAAAATACCTGGCAGTAAACTTTGAAAATGTGTGGTAATTTTTACTAATTTACAAAGACCAAGAGATTTTAATAACGAAGAGATGCGGTAGATGGGAAACATGATAAAATGAAATGTTAGTGTCCTCCAAATGGACACATTAAATAACAATTTAAAGCCAGAATAAATTGCAAGTGGACCAATGAGGTATTTGAAAAATAAAGAAAAACAGATAAAAGCAGCATAAATGGGGAGAAAGGAAGAACACTTTCTAGGCATAATCCCAAAAAGGACTTAAAAAGAAAGGATTGACAGTTAAGACTGTGAACAAACCTGATCCTAGAGTCCAAGCCACACAGCTCAGGCCTTTAAAATGTCCTTTTCAGTCCTTGGATCTGTGATCATTACAATCCCCCCTCCCCCACCCACCACAAATACGCACCACACCATCCCCACCGCCAACCCTGGCCTGAGCAGATGAATCATCTGTAAGGACTCACCAAGGATCTTCACAGTCCCATTCTAGATAGATCAACACTGCAGATTTTCAACTTCCAAAACCACTCTCAAAGCCTTGTGATACGGCTAGCCCTCAGCTCCGGCTGAGAAACAGGATTAAGAGAAAAAAACAACCAGGCCATGGCTGCTGCTGCTAAGCCAAAAGCCAAGAAGGACACCACTAGTGTTTGGGCTGAGGTTGTTTTGGCCCTAGAAGTAACAGCAACATACCCCACCTGACCAAAAGTAGAGACCAAAAGCAGGAGAAAGACAGTAGCAAGTACAAAACCTATTAGGGTTTATGTTCAAATGTTCTCTGGCTTGTTTTTTCCTTGGCCATAAAAAAAAAAAGTCTATCATAGCGGTTCTCAAACTTCAGAGTGCATCAGAATCACCTGGAAGGCTTTTGTAAAAAGATAGCTGGGTACCACTCCCCCCACCCACCCCCCCGCCCATGTTTCTGACTTAGTTGGTTTGGAGTGGAACCTGAAGGTTTGCATGTCCACAGGTGAATTAAATCAAATTCTAAAACATGTCAAACCAGTGACTTCCCTAATGGCCTAGTGGCTAAGACTCCATGCTCTCATTGTAGAAGGCCAGGGTTCAATCCCTGGTCAGGGAACTAGAGCCCACATGCCACAACTAAAAAAGATCCAGAATGCTAAAACTAACAGCTGGCACAGCTGAATACTGAAAAAAGAAAAAAAGACAGACATGGAGGAAAGCTATGTGCACATATGTCTGTATGTTTAAATAATCACTTTATAAAAAAAATAATAATAATCACTTTATATTAAATCAATTATACCAGAAGTGCTTTTCAGGTACTTAGCCCTATGATAGGTAATATCTTTTCCAGGCAGATCTAAATTTATTATGACTAAATAGAGGAATTCCTTGGTGGCCCAGTGGTTAGGACTCTGCTTTCACTGCCGAGGGCCTGGGTTCAATCCGTGGTTGGGAAACTAAGATCACAAAAGCCCCACAGGGTGGTCAAAATGAATAAATAAATACAGTTACAAATATTTCATCTAAATGTGTGAATTTTAATTGTCTAGTTACGACTATCAGAGAAGGCAATGGCAGCCCACTCCAGTATTCTTGCCTGGAAAATCCCATGGATGGAGGAGCCTGGCAGATTGCATGTAGTCCACGGGGTCGCAAAGAGTCAGACACGACTGAGCAACTTCACTTTCACTTTTCACTTTCATGCATTGGAGAAAGAAATGGCAACCCACTCCAGTGTTCTAGCCTGGAAAATCCCAGAGACGGGGGAACCTGGTGGGCTGCTGTCTATGAGGTCGCACAGAGTCGGACACGACTGAAGCAACTTAGCAGCAGCAGCAGCAGTTACAACTATAATGTATATCATAGGGATATCATTTATATATGTCTCAAATCTTACTAACCAATAAAAATTAATAATGCTGGGACTTCCCTGGCAGTCCAGTGGTTAAGACTCCACATTTCCACCACAGGGGGCAGGAGTTCGATCCCTGGTCAGAGAACATGGCCACATGCCATGTGCCATGGCCAAAATGCAAAATAATAATACCTAGCTTAGTTTACTATGCTTTATAAAACCATAGATGTTAACACAAAAAAAGCAATTCAGAATTATGATTAAAGTGGGCATTTGCTTTTTTATTAAAAAAGCAATTGCTCCTTCAATAGCTGAATGACTAAAACTGTAATACATCCAGAAAATGAAATACAGAAGGAATGACCTACTGACACATGCAATGATTTGGATGGATCTCAGGGCATTTATATTGAGTGAAAAAAAAAAATTCTCAAAAGACTATGTATAGTAGGAGTCCATTTAGATAAATTCCTCAAAATGGTAAAATTATAGATATGGAGAATAGATTATTAACTACCAGGGTCTAAAAATAATACTCGAATGCCAGGTAGATAAATCCTTAAACAGGCAGCATGAGGGAGAGCTTTGTGGTAATGGAATAGGTCTGTTTCTTGATAGCACTGATGGTTACAGGAATCTATACACTTGATAAAATGACACAGAACTATACATATATGTTGCACCAATGTCCATTTCTTGGCTTTGATACTGTACTATATCCATATAAGATAGAAGCATTGGGAAACTGGGTAAAGAATATATGGAACTCTCTATACTATTTTTGCAACTTCCTATGAATCTACAATTGTATAAAAATTAAAGTTAAGAAAAAAAAAGAAGTCGGGAATTCCCTGACAGTCCCATGGTTAGGACTTGGTGCTTTAACTGCCATGGTCCACGGTTCAATCCTTGGTAGGGAACTAAGATCCTGCAAGCCACATGGTATAGCGGAAAAAGGAAAAAAAGTTAAAAAGCAGCTGCATATCTAGATAACAAATTTAGAAAGCAATTTTTTTTAAAGAGACAATTTAGGGGCTTCCCTGGTGGCTCAGTGGTAAAGAATGACCTGCCAATGCAGGAGACATGGGTTTGATCCCTGGTCCAGGAGAATCCCACATGCGCTGGAGCAACTAAGTCTGTGCACCACAACTATTGAGCCTGTGCTCTAGAGCCCAGGAACTGCAACTACTGAACCCATGTACCCCAGAGCCCAGGCCCCGCAACAGAAGCCACCACACTGCAACAGAGCAGCCCCTGCTCGCCACAAGCAGAAAAGTCAGTGCAACAAGGAAGACCCAGCACAGCCAAAAATAGACCATTTAAACAGATAGCAAAAATCATTAGTTACCTAGAATTGTTCACTCACTAAACCATGTCTGACTCTTGCAACCCCATGGAGTCCCTGTCCCCCCAGAGTTTGGTCAGATTCACGTCTATTGAATCAGTGACGCTATCTAACCATCTCATCCTCTGCTGCCCCCTTCTCCTTTTACCTTCAATCTTTCCCAGCAGCCGGGTCTTTTCCAAAGAGTACCTGGAGCTAACTGTGGCTCAGATCATGAGCTCCTTATAACCTACAAAATAAGTCTTTTTAAAAGGTATTCAAGAGTGGCATGTAAAAAATTATAAAACCTCCTTGAAACATAAGTGGAGCAATATCATGTTCATTGATAGGAAGATTCAATATTGTAAAGACGTCAATTTCTTTAACATGACCTAAAGATTAAATGAATTTCCAATTAAGATCTCAAACAGGTTTACAGAACTTTTACTAGTTGCTTCTAAAATGTAATAGCATGACTTACCATAAGGCCACAGAAATGAACATGGTACACTGCATTGGTACAAAACCACCAACCAATAAAACCAAATGGAGAGCCCAGAAGTAGATCCATGCACACTTGGAAATTTGATAAGACAGAGGTGCCATTTAGGTCACTGGAGAAAGAATGGACTTTTTAGTAAAGAGTACTAAGTATCCACAAGGAAAAAAGGAATCAGTGATAGATAAAATAATTAGATATGAGTAGATATTTTGGAAACATTTCAAAGAAAATAGAGAATATCTGTGACCTCAGGGTTAGGAGAAAGCTATTAAACAAGACACAAAAAAGTGTTAACCATAAAATGACAAATTCGACCATCTTAAAAGACCCTTTTTTCCATTAAAAGAAACTATGAGGAAGGTGAAATGAGAGCCACAAAATGAGAGAAAGTATTTGCAATATATCACTCACAAAAGTCTGCTACCCACAATGTATTTTTTAAATTTATTTTTAAAAGTAAAATAAAAAACAGATAATAGTCAGGAAAATAAAATTAAAATTGCAATGAAAAATTGGTAAAAATAAATATTTAGGTTGGTAAAAATTAAATTTGTGAAGCACTGACAAGAATGAAGAGTCTTATGGGAAGTTTGGGAGATTCTCAAATGGAATTTCTCTCTTTTTTTAAATGAATCCTGGCTCTTTTTTTTTTTTTTTTTTTTTGGTTGTGTTGGGTCTTCACTGCTGCACAGGCTTTTGTCTCAGTTTAGTGAGCAGCGGAGCTACTCTTCAGTTGCAGGCTTCTCATTGCAGTGGCTTCTCTTTTTTTTTTTTTATTTAATAAAGCTTTATTTTTCAAAATGTACAGTTGGTGGGACCTGTTCATGCATCTTCACCAGCAGCTAGGGCATTTCCACCCTTGGTGTGTCTGCTGTAAATCACTTGAGCTCTGTGCTTTGAAACCAGTTTAGTAAGTCCTTTACTAAGGAGTTCCTGACGGGCTGCCCTGGCCAGGGAACCACGAATCTGCAGTCTCTCAGAGACGACAGCTGGAGTTATAAGCTTAGAGTTGGGAACTTCTTTACAGGGTTTGTCACATGTTGCTTTGTCAAACATGATGAGGTTATTGAGCTTGTCCCGAACTTTGCCTTTGGACCACTTCTTTTTGGCCTTGCCCCCAGATTTGTTCACTGGATCTTTGTCTTTCTTGGTCGACTTTCCAGCATCTTTCTTCTTCTTCTCGTCCTTGGGCGGCATAGCGAAGCCGGGAGAGCAGCTGCGACAATTGCCGCCTCGCTGTGGCGGCTTCTCTGGTTGCAGAGCACAGGCTCGGGGCACGCGGGCTCGGTACTTGATGCTCCCAGGCTCTAGAGCACAGACAGGCTCAACAGTCGTGGCACACGGGCTTAGTCGCTCCTCGCCAGGTGGGATCTTTCCAGATCAGGGAGTGAACCTATGTCTCCTGCACTGGCAGGCGGATTCTTCACCACTGAGCCACCAGGGAAGCCTATTAAATGGAATTTCTTTTGTTTCCCTCGTGGATGTAAATTGGTATAACTATTGTGGAAAATGATTTGGCACCAGCCTGAAAACTAAACACTCACATACAGTATAACATACAGTTAACACTCCTAGATTTAACCTTAAAATTCTTGGAAATATCCATCAAGAAATGTGTATAAGAATGTTCAAAGTGTCAATGTTTTTAACAGCAAAATAGGAAGAAAAACAAACCAAATACCCATCTGCAGTAAAGTAACTCTTCTTCTCAATGGGGAGGTTTCAGCTCAAATACCACTTAATTAGGCCTTCTCCAAGCTCTATTTAAATTTAACACACACACTCCCCCTTACTTTCACATCAAATCACAACTCCCAGTTACCATCTAAAGTCAGTGCATTTTTTTTAAAGGTCGTCTTCTCACAGTGGACAGTCAACTTCATGAAAAGAACATGTGTCCTTTCTTACTCTGTATGTCTAGGCCTTAGCACAGAGTAACACTGAAAATAAAAAGGTGAAAGAGAAATCAAAAAAAGAGGGGGAAAAGAAAAAAGAGGGGGATAGTGAGGTGGAAGAAGAAGAGTTCATTGAAAACTTACCTACCAAAACAGAAACAGACTCACAGACATAGAGAACTGACTTGTAGTGTTAAGGAGAAGGGGAAAGGGGGAAGGATGGGTTGGAAGGCTGGGGTTAGCAAATGCAACTATTATATATAGAGTAAACAAGGTCCTGCTGTACAACACAGGGAACTATATCCAATATTCTATAAGAAACCATAATGGATAAGAATACCTATCTATCTATGTATCTCAATCACACTACTATAGAGCAGAGTACAATATTGTACATCAACTCTACTTCCATAAAATTAGGTGTGTTTTTTTTTAAACAGTTCATTGAGATCTCAGACAAAAAGGGAAAGGGAAGCCAAGTTATAGAATCTTCCACATGAAATGGAGCAACTCTGTATCTGGAAGGTATGCTCATCATTTGAAGAAGGACTGAAGAAAGACAAGACTTCGTAAAATAGGAAGAAAAAATCAAAGTTGCGGGAGGAGGATCTGGAGGGTACAGAGTGATTCAAAATTGTTTCCGCTTTTGAGCTTAAGGTTTTACTCTTGCTATGGATATGTTTCACTGAGGGGTGGGAGGGCAGCATATTCCCATTGGAAGACAGTAGGAAAAAAGATTTACCTTAATTGAAGTGTGATTTATCATCAAGTTTGCTACTGCATAAAATAAAGGATGACAATTGTTATGGGCTAAGTATCTTCTCAAAATGCATATGTTGAAATCCGAACCCCTGGTGCATCATAATGTGACTGTGCTTGGAGACAGGATCTGTAGTGAGGTAATTACAATAAAACGAGGTCACATAAGTAGGCCCTAATCCATTATAACTGCTTTCCTTATTAAGAAGAGATGAGGACAGACCTGCATACACACAGAGAAAAGCCACGTGAAAACACAGCAAGAAGGTGGCCTCCTGCTAGTCAGGGAAAGAAGACTCAAAACAAAAACAAAAAACCAAACCTGCTGACCTTGAACTTGGGCTTTCCACCTCCTAAACTGTCAGAAAATACATTTGTTGTTTAAGCCACCCAGTTTGTGGTATTTTGTTGTGGCAGCCCTGGCAATCCATCACTCTGACTAAATACTACGCTGCCTAGAACTGCTTTAATGCAAAAGAAATTTTCCTGTGCTTCCCTAGGTCCCATTAGCCAACACCTATTAAAAGATAATAAAAACCTGCCATGCTATTAAGAATTATTGAAATTGCTTAATTACCTGAGTATGGGATGTTGATAAACTACTGCCAACTTTTTGTTCCCTTACTGATTTATAAGCTGACTCGATCAAATCCAATTTATCCATTTCACACTGCAGGCAGGAAGCCCAGGGCCTGCAAGCTTTTCCAGAAATGAAAACATATAAGAAAATGCCTGAGATCTAGGCATGAAAAGGGCAGACACCAATTTAAGAAAATTAAACTACAAAATTTAAAAATGTTCCATTAAATTAATATATAAACTTAATTTTTCATTTTAAAACATACAAATTTCCTTACATTTGAAAATAATTAGCACATTAGATTTTTACATTTCTCAAGAATTCTCACATATGCATGACTGCTTAAAACACATATCAAATCATTAATGAGTCAACACAGTCAATTAATTTCCAAAACAAGGGTAATCCATGCAGAAAGTTTTTTGAGAAAAGATATTCAACATTGGATATGCATACATCTTAATATTTGATGACATGGGGTAGGGTCTCCCTTTTCTCCTTCCATTCCCTAACTGCCTGCCTCCTTCATTTCCAAATTACATAACAGTTCAGAAGAGAGTGGCAGTGACTCCTGCAAGGGAGGGCTAGGGGATTGTGAGGATGAAACATCTACGGGTAAGGATAAGGGGCTCAGAAAAGAAGCAATCACAGGAACTTCCCTGGTGATCCAGTGGTTAAGAAACTGCAATGCTTCCACTGCAGGGGACAAAAGGGTTCATGAATGATACAGGTGGAAACACAAAACAGAAGCATAGATACATCCTGGCAGGAGGCTTCTAGAGAGCAGCACCTGGCCTATATCCAGCAAGAAAACAGCAACCTCAGTCCCACCACCTCACAACTTGCAGTAGCTTGGAAGCGCAGCAGTTAGTGAAATCTTCCCTGGGCAAGTCTTCAGATGAGAATACAACCTGGCCAACAACTGGATTACAACCTTCTTGGACCCTCAGTAGAAGATAATGCTAAGCCATGCCCAGACTCCTGACACAGTGATAGTATGACAGAAAGAGATCTTACAAAGCTACAGTAAGACAAGTACAAGGTTAAAATAAGTAGACTAGTAGTGTTATTCTATAATGTATTATCTGGCAACATGTTGAAACATTTAAAAGTATATACACTGAAACACTTAAAAGCATATATATTGAAACATTTAAAAGTATACATATTGCTTTCAACTGGATTTTTGTTGCTCAGTCATGTCTACTCCTTGCAACCTCACAGACTGCAATACGCCAGGCTTCCCTATCCTTCACTATCTCCTGGAGTTTGCTCAAACTCATGTCCACTGAGTCGATGATGCCATCCAACCATTTCATCCTCTGTCACCCCTTCTCCTCCTGCCCTCAATCTTTCCCAGCATCAGGGTCTTTTCAAATGAGTCAGCTCTTTGTATCAGGTGGTCAAAGTATTGGCGTTTCAGCTTCAACATCAGTCCTTCAATGAATAGTCAGGGTTGATGTCCTTTAGGGTTGACTGGTTTGATCTCTGTGCAGTCCAAGGGACTTTCAAGAGTCTTCTCCAGCACCACAATTCAACTGGATAGATATCAGCACATCACAAAAATGATCAACTATGATATTAAGACACTGGAAATTTCCTAGAAGCAAATTCTTTATCATTCTTCTGCCTCCATCCAATTCCTACAAACACCACACTATCACTGGTTCCAGTTCACCTTATGTGTAGCCTTTTAGTAAAAGTGTAGAAAGTGCAAAAGGCGGGGAGGTGGAAAGGATGTTTTCCCTCCTGGAGACATATCATTCTCTGAGGAAGAAAGCAGAAGTCCCCCTCAAGCTCTGTTGAGCCCTGACCTCTGTGGAAAAATCACTGCTCTTCTCTAATCTTATCCTGATTTTTTTTCACTCTATCACATCTCTATTAAAATAACAAGAGGACCCTGAGCTTCCTAATGTTGTTTTTGGAAAGAGTCCAATCATATTTTTTTTAAAAAGCTAAAATGTACAGATGCCTACACTGCAATTTCCTCCAAGCTGCCACTAGTGGTTTTTCTATTATTAAGAGCAAAAACAAACATATCTTGGTTGCTTGCAACAGTAATTCTGAAATAAATGGTAGCACAAGAGACAGCAACAGAATTTTTAAGTCTAAAGCTAGAGGATGAGTCTGCTCTTCCTTACCACAAATTTCTATTTTACTATATTAATTCATTAAGTTTAAAATACTGGTAAGTACCATCCTTCTAAGGAAAGACCTATGTTAATTACCCAAGGCACCCCCATACTAACTCTACCTAATTTTAACAGTTACTAAATACTGTTAACTCTATCCTATGGGATAGAAGAGAAATAAACATACTTCTAAGCAAAAACAATATAGACAGAAGTGAGGAAACAGTTTCCAGTTTAAATACACCAAGCGTATATCCAAAATAGAAAATAAAAGTAGCACTCTGAAACAAAAGTTACCTGTAACTCTAGAACATTTTAATTCTATAGAACTTTAATAAATAAAAGGCCCCAGTTTCCAAGTATCTACCAAAAAAAGGAATGAATAATGAATCCCATCAGAACTGGGGAAATTTTCTTTTTCTTTAAAGGAAGTAGAGGGATGAAAGCAGATAACCATTTTCTTTCAAAAAGATAAAGATAAAACACTGCTTCCTCAAATAACCACTCAGAATGTCACTTGAGATGAGTATGCAGGAAGAATATAATTGTATTTTGCCTTGTATACAGTATTGGGCAATTAAATGCCAACTTGGCTATTTAGCAATGGCTTGCTAAAACATTGAAAAAATGGAAGACTTCATCCTTGTCATAGACTGCCACTTCAGTGGAACATTCGGTGCACATGACTGGGTGATAGATTTCTTCCACATCTGTCTCTGCCTCCTCCGCAGCACCTTCTTGGTTAGACCTCATCTTCTTATGGCCTCGCCTTTTCTTCCTGTTCTCTGGGGGTTTGTATCTCAGAATCTCTTCCTTGTTGACAGAACAATTCATTACAAACATTGCTCTATATTGAGTTTTATATGATTCATGCCTAAGAGGAAAATGAAATGGAGAATTTGGATTTATGTTCTATTTTAATAGTTACACATTTAGATTAAAATTTAAGACTATCAAAAACTTACTGAAATACCAACCAAAGTTAAAACATGAGAACAAAACAAGAAATTCAAAAACTTTTAAGAGTTATTTTAAGAGTAGGAAGGGACCTGTTACAAAAATAGATAATAAAGAATGAATATATTCTACTGCTCTAAAGCTAACTTTTACCTCAGTAAAAAAAGTTTTTGATTTGCTCTTCCAACACAGAAAGAGAAGAAAAGTTGTTGGAAACTTGAGAGGTAATGTTTAAAAGATCTTTGACTGCATCTTTTCCTGTTGTGGCCTGAGACTCTGCCCTCCTCTCATTATAGGTGGTGCCATTCTGGTCACTATTTTAGTAAAAGCTACAGTTTTAAAAGCTTAAAGAGCATCTGACTTTATAATGTCCATTCTTGGCTTCACTCCAATAGTCTAAAGAATAAATAATGCTTTCTTTGTTCTCCTCAAATAACTTAATGTTTTCCTACTTTCCTTGACTTAGTAAGTTACTTTCCTTTTCTCCCCCTTAAACCTCATACAATAGAAATATCTATTTGGCTAAAAACAGGAAGTCAAGTTATGTCTCGATTGGTTCTAAACGCTGATCTTATCCTCTTCCACCAACCACCAGGCTGGTGCTTCTCTAGGTGAGACCATAAAAATTACATTTATACTCCACCATATTGGAATCCTGTATTCATAGGGTACACAATTTTTACCAAGATCAATTTCTACTGTTAGATCATGAAGCAACTTCTTTTGGGTATAGGAATCCTGTAACATAGCAGCATGGTTTAATTTAAAAGAGAAGCAACAAGTACAAAGGTACTTTACTTTTTCTTTATTTCCTATTCTAGGTGTCAATTTATATACAAGAAGCTTAAGAGTTCAAATGGAGAGTACAAAAATTCATTGTTGCAGATGATGAGAAACCTCAAGTTAGCGAGTAAGAGTAAAACTACATCTGGCTACTCAGTGACTAGAACAAATCTACCACCTGCATCATTATTTAGTTTCCGTTAACCTGATTTAGAAGACGAACTAAGTTAGACATTTATAAGGCTACTGGAAAAAAAAGGAGAGGAAAAGGGAAAGAGTATATTTGGATTAATAGAATGAAGGGGATAAAAAAAACACATGATCTTCTCAATTGATGCATAAAAAGCATTTGAAAAATTCAACACTCTTTCATGATAAAAACACCCAAAATCTAATAGAAGGAAACCTCTTCAATATAATAAAGGCCATATATAAAAAATTCATAGCTAACATCATACTCAATGATGAAAGACAAAACTTTTCCTCTAAGACAAGGATTAAGACAAAAAATACCTGATTCCATCACTTCTATCTAACTTGAAAGTTACAATAGTGCAATTAGGTAAGAAAAAGAAATAAAGATTACACAAAAAACTATCAGAGCTAATAAATTAATGCAGCAAAGTTGCAGAGTGCAAAATGAAGACATAAAAATCTGCTGTTTCTATACACTAGCAAAGAACAATCCAAAAGGAAAGTAGAATAGAGATTACCAGAGGCTGGGATAGGTAGGGATGGAGAATGGTGACTTACTGTCTAATGGGGAAACAGTTTCTGTCTGGAGTGATGAAAAAATTCAGGAAATGGAGAGTCATGATGGCTGCACAACTGTAACTGTAGTTCATGTCACTGAATTGTACACTGAAGTCAGGTACACACTGCTATATTTAACATGGATAACCAACAAGGACCTATCGTATATAGCACAGGGAACTCTGCTCAACCTTATGTGCAAGCCTGAATGGAAGGGGTTTGGGCGAGATTGGATAAATATATATGTATACGGCTGAGTCCCTTCACTATTCATCTGAAACTACCACAATATCGTCAATCGGCTTTACCCCAAAACAAAATAAAAAGTTTAAAGTTAAAAAAAAAAAAAAGGTTAAAACAGGCAACAAGATAAGAGTGTCCATTCTCACCACTCCTATTCAATATATTTCTAGAAATCTTAGTCCAAGCAATCAGGTTAAAAAAAGAAAAGGTAACCAAACAGAAAAGGAGTAAAACTGTCCCCGTTTCCAGATGACATGATCTTATGTATACAAAACTCTAAAGATTCCAAGAAAATGTTAGAACTAATAAATTCAGTAAAAATTCATGATACAAAAGCAAACAACAAAAATCTGTTGCATTTTCACTAACAACAAACTGAGAAATTAATAAAACAATGTCATTCACAATAAAAACAATAAAATACTTAGGAATAAATTTAACCAAGGAGGTGAAGGATCTATACACTGAAAACTATGACAGTGATGAAAGAAAGTGAAGAAAACACAAATAAATGTAAAGATGTCCCATGCTCATACACTGGGAGAATTAATACTGCTACAACGTCTACGCTACCCAAAGCCATTGTACAGATTCAATGCAAACCCTATCAAAATTCCAATGGCATTTTCCTAAAAACATTAAAAAAATCTAAAATTTGTACGGAACCATAAAAGACCTCAAATAGCCAAAACAATCTTGAGAAAGAAGAACAAAGCTAGAGGCATCACACTTCCTGATTTCTAACTATGCTACAAAGCTATAGTAATCAAAACAGTATGGGACTGGCATAAAAAAAAAAAACAGACTCATTGATCAACAGAACAGAACCAAGAGCCCAGAAATAAACCCATGGATATACCATAAACTAATATTTGGCAAGGGAGTCAAGAATATTCAATGGGGAAAAGACAACCTCTTCAATAAATGGTATTGGGAAAACTGGATATTCATAGGCAAAAAAATGAAATTGGACCCTTAACTTACACCACACACAAAAATTAATTTGAAATAAAGACTAAAATTTAAAATTTGAAATAAAAAAACTCCTAAAAGAAAATATAAAAAATAGCTCCTTAACACTGGTCTTGGCAATATTTTGGAGCTGACACCTAAGGCACAAGCCACAAAAGCAAAAATAAACAAACGGAACTACATCAACCTAAAAAACTGTGTAGCAAAGAAACAATCAACAAAATAAAAAGGCAACCTATGGAATGGGAAAAAATACTAGGAAATCATGTACCTGATAAGGGGTTAATTTCCAAAATATACAAGGAGCTCAATGTAAAAAATCCAATTAATAAGTGGGCAAGGAACTTGAATAGACATTTTTCCAAAAAAGACATACAAATGGCTAATGGGTACACAAAAAGGTACTCACTATCACAAACCATCAGGGAACTACATATCAAAACTACTGTAAGATTATCACCTCAAAACTACAGTAGATATCACCTCATAGAATAGATATGATCAAAAAGACAAGAGATAACAAAAGTGAACCCTCGTGTACTATTGGTAGGAATGTAAATTGATACAGCCACCATGAAAAACAGTACAGAGGCACTTCAAAAAGTTAAAAGTAGAACTGTCATATGATCTAGCAATTCCACTGTTGGGAATGTACACAAAGGAATGAAAGCACTGTCTCAAAGAGATACCTGAGCCCTCACCTCAGCCAGGTGATCAACATCAGCATTAACAGCCACAAATCATGTTGATAGCCTGTTGCCTATGATATAGTGTGATGAAAATGGCACTTTACTTCAGTAGTCTTCCTCCCAAAAACCCATCACAGCATTATTTACAACAGCCAAGATGTGGAAACAACATACATGTCCATCAACTGATGAATGAATAAAGAAAAAAAGGTATATACACACAATAGAATATTAATCAGCCATTAAAAAGAAAAAAATCCTGCCATTTGTAACAACATGGATGAAGCTTGAAGGAATTATACCAAGTGAAATAAGGCAGAAAGAGAAAGGCAAATACTGTATGATCTCACTTACATGTGGAAACTGAAAAAAACAAACAAACAACTGAATTCATAAAGTTGGTGGGGGAGGATAGGTGGATGAAGGTGGTCAAAAGATACAAACTTCCAGTTAAAATGATTACGCTCTGGAGATGCATGCACAGCATGATGACTATAGTTAACAACGTGCTGCGCTTAGTTGTGTGCGTGTGAGTGCATGCACTTAGTTGCTCAGTCATGTCTGACTCCCTGCAATCACACGGACTGTAACCCACCAGGCTCCTTTGTCCATAGGGATTCTCCAAGTAAGAACACTGAGTGGGTTACCATGACCTCCTCCTGGGGATCTTCCCAACCCAGGGATCGAACCCAAGTCTCCCACTGTATTACATACTTAAAAAATGCTGAGAGTAGATCTTAAAAGATTTCACCACCAAAAAAAGGGAACTATGTGAGGTGATGGCTATTAACGAACCTTACTGTGGTAATCATTCTGCAATATATTTGAATATCTAATCATTACACTGTATACTGTATATCTAAAGCTTATACAATGGTATATGGCAATTACATCTCAATAAAGCTGGGAAAACATTTTTTTTAATTCTTAAATGGTCTAGCTGACAATAAATTGAATATTCAAATGAAATACTCTTACAGCAACATTTTTAAATGCTTAAAATAGTAAATTTTATATTACCACAATAGAAAAGAAATGAGTCTATTTGAGAGATTTCGTCATCCTACAACATATATGCAGTTTTACGGAATCCTTATCAGCACTGGCAAGTACTTTATTAAAAAAGCTAGTCAGACTACATATAACCAAAATTATTTGTATAAAGATTAGTCAAGCAGCACAAGGGATATATGAGGGCAGAACTTTATCAGAATTCCTAAGTACCTCAAAAGTCTATTTCAGATTTAAACAAGGACCACCAAGTGGTCTTATTTTCATGCATGTGTGTATGTGTGTGTTGTTACCCTTTATCAGTTACCTCTGGCAATCAAGACACAGTGTAGTCATGCAGGCAGGGCAATTCAAGACAGCATCGCTGTTCGGAACAGGCCGCTGCTGTTGACGTGGTCGCTGCATTCCAAAACCATGGTACCTAGAACAGAAAGAGGAAGGGTGAAGCACATTAAAGCTTCAGATCTTCCTTTCTAATGGCACTTTCCAATACAAGAAATCAGTACCCTTTAGAGAAATGGTTAATTCTAGGAATGAGGCACATAAGGTAGACCTGGAACATTCTGTAGTGCCAGAAAGTAAGGCAGTGCTCAAAAAAAAAACAAAACCAAAAATCCACAAGACAAGTATGTTAAAGGGGCACAGGAGCCAACTCAAAGAGCCCCTGATGACTGAAATCAAAACAATTAGAGCACTGAAATAAAAGTGTTAAATTATAAGCAAAGTATAAATAAATACCCATGACTCCATGCTGACATAAATGACTTAATATGTAACTAAATGGGGGAGAACAGCTACACCTCCCATATGTAAGAATTACAAATAATTTATGAAGATACTCTCCCCCCTCAAGGAGGTGGAACATAACTCCAGACTCCTTAAGTCTAGGCTAAATATAATGACATCCTTCCAAAGAGAAGGTACAGAAAGGTGTGGGAAGAGTAACTTTACAGCTAAGGAACTAAATCATGCTTGATAGTATGTACCCTCGATATGAAGTGATGAAAATAGCACTTTACCTCTGTGGTTTCTGTGGTCTTTCTCCCCAAAATCTCTAATTCCAATCTGATCATGAGAAAAGCATTAGATAAATTCCAATAAGGGAGCCTCCCACAATATTCCTGATCCATGCTCCTCAAAACTGTTAGTCATCAAAACCAAGGAAAGTCTGAGAAACTCATAGCCAAGAAAAGCCTCAATAGACATAACAACTAAATGTAACATGGTATCCCAGATGGGCTCTTGGAAGAGAAAATGGATATTAGAATAAAAACTAAGGAAATCTGGGAATTCCCTGACAGTCCAGTGGTCAGGACTCCAGTAGTCAGGTCACCTTGCTGTTGGTGGGGGGGAGTAATAAGGAAATTCTCTGTATTACCAGCTGCATTTTTCTGTAAATCTAGAATTATTCTAAAAAAGTTTACTAATTAAACACACACACATCAATAAAGCTACTTTTAAAAAGCGAGCACTGTAAGCTCTAAGTGCCTAAGAATCGTATTCTGTTTTGTCCCCTTCTGTATTTCAAGAGTCTGAAACAGTGTCTGGGATATAGTAAGTGCTCAACAAATATGTGCTGATTGAAAAAATAAAGTATGAATCTACTCATGAAGACACTAAAGTATAAAAGGATATATTCTTAAAACGGGCTTATGGAAAGAAAAAAAAGGGGGGGCTTATGGGAAACTTCAAAAAACTGAACTTCAAAACACAAAATCACTTGGCATTACTTTCTAAACTCTTTTATGTGGGGAAAAATACTGAGAACATGTGGTATATATTTCATAACTGTTGTTAAATACCTCCAAATGCTTGAAAATTTTCAAACCTCAAGAAAATAACTAAATTATTCATTCAACAGATAGTGAGTATCCATATGACAATGTGCAAGATGCTTGGGATACAGCACTGAATAAGACAGGTATGATCACCGTCCCTGTGGTGCTTAAAATGTACTGAATTCATTACCTGAAGCAGGTTTCTGTGGTCCTAAAAGGCAACTACTGTTGACATAGGAATGTGAGTAAGATACTAAAATGTTACTTCTCAAGATTATGTAACAATGAAAATACATTCCATCTTAAGTCACTGACAACTTTTGTTACCAGAATCAGGAGCAGATCATAAGCTCCTTAATTATTTCAACAGCACTTGTAGCACTTAAAAATGTTCATTTCACACTGTAGGTGTGAAAACTACTCTTCACATAAATGCAAGAGGCAGCTTTAAGTGGTGCATGGGTGAAACTGGGAGAGGAAAAAAAAGACAAAGTAGGAGAGTGGAAGCTAAAACGTGGTGCACAAAGACCCACACAGCATCACATTCCCTCTGGACTGGGTAACTATAGATTCCTGGGCCCCACCCTCGATGAATCAAAACCTCCCTAGAGCAGGACTCAAGGGTTTGCATTTCACTCTCACCAGGAGATTCTAAGCTCAGGCAGGCTAGGGTAACATTAGGTAATAGTGATAAGCTTTCAGCTTTCATTTTTATGATAAATCGATCTTTATGAAATCAAATTTGAAAGAGGGTATGGTTTTCTCTTGGAATGATGGAAATGGTTTGAAATAAACATAGGTAGTGGCTGCACACCACTGTGAACACACTAAATGCCACTGAGCTGTTAACTTCAAAATGGTTAACATTATGTCATGAGTTTTACCTCAACTTTAAAAAGTCAAATTTGTAAACATGATTCGAGTATTCAAATAGAAAACATAACATCCACTCTTAATCCACATAAACTCTTTTCCTTTTGGCCATGCTGAGGCATGCAGGATCTCAGTTCTCCAACCAGGAATCGAACCTGAGCACCCTGCAGTGGAAACATGGAGTCCTGACCACTGGACCCCCAGGGAATTTCCTACATGAACTTTTAATCTCTAAGTAACTTGATATTGCTTATTTGAAAAAAGTCAGCTTTGTTTCTTGAAGGCAGACACTTGACTAGCTACAGCAGTTTGAATTCAACAACAGTTTTTAAAAAATAAATGGTCTAAACAATGTATACATGTGTATAACTGAGTCACTTTGCTGCAGCAGAGATTGGCGTAACACTGTAAATCAACTATGTTGTTGCTGTTCAGTTGCTGAGTCGTGTCCAGCTCTTTGCAACCCCATGGACTGCAGCACACCAGGCTTCCCTGTCTTTCACTATCACCCAGAGTTTGCTCAGATTCAAGTCCATTGAGTCCGTGATGCTATATTTCAAATAAAAATAAATAACCAATGGCCTGACTGAAATTTGCTTTTCATTTTCAAAATATTCAGTAGTTTTTTTCTCAAACTTTCTTTATGCAAGTCTGCATATCGAACCTGGGTCTCCTGCATTCCAGGCAGATCCTTTACCATCTTAGCCACCAGCAAAGTCTCTATGAACATACACACATACACTCAAAATGTGAATACAGTGAAAATCATCTTTTAATCATTTTCCCTAAAGATATGAAATATTAAATTTCTTACCCTCTTCTCTGTGCATCAACCCAGGCCTGATCTCTGTTATCTTTTTCAGGATCATATAGTAATTCATCATTTGTTGGAATTCTGTGTTGTTTCTTCTTTTTTTTCTTGGTCACTTGTGCTAATTTTGAAAATGTTAAGAATATGGCTAAGTAGCATGTCTAAAATTCACACCTCTTTTACACAAAATGAAGAATCCTATTTCCCAAGGTATATATTTTTTCTATTTCCCTAAAAAAAATTTTTTAAACTATTCCTTCAAATAAAGTTCAGAACCAAGTTCAAATAATGAGAAGTCAGAGTCTCAAAAAAGCCACTCAAATCAAGTTAAGAATAGACACTAATCTTTTTTTTTTTTTTTTGCTGCACTGCTTGGCTTGCAGAATCTTAGCTCCCAGACCAGGGATCAAACTCAGACTTCCAGAAGTGGAAGCATGGAATCTCAACCACTGGACCACCAGGGAATTCCTTAGAAACTATTTTTGATGTCTTAAATTTTCCATAAGTTCTCATATATAAAGTACTACTGAAATCAGAACAAAAGTGAGGTGAGAGGGGGGGAACCACTAAGATCATCTACATACACTAGACCTACCTGAGCAGGTCAATATTTATGCAACAACATATAAAAATATAAAATCATTTCTTTACCTTATAAATATGTATGTATTCCATCATAACTACTGATATAATTTAGTTTTAGCTCTTGTCATTAAACTTTGCTCAAAATTTACACAAAATCAGGGGCTTCCCTGGCGGTCCAGTGGTTAAGAATCTGCCTTGCAACGTAAGAGACACCACTTCCATCCCTCGTCGGGGAGATCCCACATGCCACAGAGCAACTAAAGCCTCAGCCCGCTGCCTAGAGCCTATGCTCTACAACAAGAGAAGCCACTGCAATAAGAAGCCCACTACCACAACCAAGAGTAGGCCCTGCTTGCCGCAACTAGAGAAAGCCTGCATGTAGCAATAATAAAGACACACTACAGCCCCCCAAAAATAAATTTTAATTTATATAAAATCAATTTCAAAGAACAGAGAGGTTGATTTTTTTTTTAAAGCAACAACTTAGGGAAAATTCTACAAGAGAGTAAAATCTAGAAACTATCTGCAGTTGTGAAAGCAAATGCTGCTGTGCTAAAGGACCCTGAAGGAAAAGGAGGCCGAGAGCTTGAGGAGAGAGATACTGAGTCAGGACTCTTCCTCTCCCAGATGTGCCTCTGCACGCCGCCCTAGTCCCAGGTCCGCAAGTGTGTGTGTTGCCACCTGTTCTATGTACAATCCTGCTTCTGTTTGCACATCAACTGCCTGCAATTTCTTAAAAGATAAAACTCAAAGGGAAAACCTAATATCAAATTGCTACGTAAAACGTCTTTCATAAAATATAACTGCTAAACCTGGTAAACATGTTCGTCTTACCTGCTTTGTCTTCGTCTTCAGAATCAGAATCAAAATATATATTGTCATAGTACTTTGTCGGAGCTGTTCCAACTATCCCATCTCCTGAAGACCCTAGTCAAATCATAAAAGAAGTTTAAAGACTGAAACATGCAGAATTGACAAGATAGAAAACTCCATACATTCTTCCATCACTTCAAACTGCTATCAGCTCATTCCCAGTTTCATTTCAGTGGAAAAATACTTTCACGTCAATGACTTACTGGAGTCAGTGACTTGCTGGATTTCTGTGCCCTATGCAATTATAGAGAACTTCTCATCCTTGAATAAGTGTTCCAAATCATGAGAAAATTATTCTCCTTCCCTTGCCATAAAGAGACTGAAAGCACATGTGATAATGATAAAAGCACATCTAATTAAACAAAACAGCCATATTTTCAAGTTACCAGTATAGATATCTCTACCTTTCAGCCATGCAGTCTACTGTAGAGAACAGGAAATAAACATCTTGTTTTAAGGGACTTTAGAAAAAGGCAGATAAGAGCTCTACAAAAAGTCAGGAGGAATAAGTCAAGGACATGTTCCTCCTCTCCTCAGTCAAGCCTAGTGCCATGACATTACCTATACTTATGTCATCATACGCCTGTATCCCTAATTCTTCCTCTTAATTAATATCTGCCTTTGCTTTTATCATTATCATATATGCTTTCAATTCTTAACAGTTAATATATAGAATAACAACACGGAAACCAATGCAGAGGAGTCCTACTTTCACAAACAGTTTTCAAGTCAGGTACATTTTACATAACAGACTACGCATCAAAATCAAGTGTATTTCATTACTTACTAAAATAAGACAGGAATTTATGGTGACACATTACTCAATCTGCTCTATCAGTGCTATATAACCTAAAAAGTACTTCTATAAGCTAATGTGTCTTTCTTTATCCTATAGGTAAAAGTACAAAAGGAAATCATATAAGTAAACAACACTTAACAGTCTCTTTCCAGCACCACAGGAAAATTCTGCACTAGCAGTGAAAGAAAACTGTGCTCAGGTTGCCAAGTGCATTTATTCATTCACTCAAGACGTGTTTACTGGGCACTGACTTAAAGTGCTGGGGACACAACAGAATGCAAAAAGGCTCTCGGCCGTGACGGAGCTTAGAAAAATATCCATGTGAAAATCTAACTCAAAGTTTACCTGTTTCTAGAGAAGATAACTTGTCCTCCATTGTTTTTATGGTAGAATTTAACTCAGCTTCCATTTCTTTTTCAAATTCATCTTCACTAGAGGATTCACTTTCCCCAGTAAGGCATTCTCTGATAAGTTTTCGTTTTTGGTCAGGAGTTCCATGTAAAAGCACATCCACCTCATCTTCAGAACTAGAACACATTTAAATCACAAAGAACATGAATACTAAAGTATTAAAATATACATACAGCTCTTCTCACTTCAACCATTTCTGCATATTTCCAAACATATTTTTTAATATCTGCATACCGTTTCCTCTTACAGATGCTGTATAGTTATTTGTCCTTGCTATTAAACACATACAATGAACAGCTCTGTATATATAATTTTGCTTCTGTTGATTTCCTTAGGTTAAATGTCTAAAATTAGACACAAACATATTTCTGACTTATGGAATTATTACATTACTTTCCAAGTGTATTGCACCAATTCGTAATTCCATCAGCAATGAAAATTTTACTGGGCGTTTGTTTTAAACTCTGGACACTTAAATAAACTTAATATATTTTTAAAAAATTTAATATATGTAACAGACAGCTAATATATCCACACAAAATGTTAACAGACAGTAAGCAAATATCACAGTTTAAAAGGCACAGTGCTACAGAGAACTATAAAAAGAGAGAGAGAGACCTAAATTATATTCCAAATTCTCCTGAGCAATTTATGCCAATTTGGCCTTTTGTGCCTGGGTCTCCCCATCAATAGCAGTATGGAATTAAACCAGGTATCAGAAGAAATAAATGTTATCAAGATGAAATGCCTAAGACATTTCTAATACAGTCAACAGTACATATATAATGTTCAATTATTCATGGTCTGATGAACAGTTACAGACTATTCATGGGTTTTGCTTCACTGTTTTTCTCGTCTATTAACACACCAGAAGGAGGTAAGTAAGAATAATACAACTCCTGCCAATCAATTTTGCTAATGACAGAGGCTTTATTCAGATTTTACTCCCAAGAAAATTCACCATCCTGACTAGCATGCTCCCTTTCTCCATCACCTCTATATTCACTCAGGTTCTCTGCCTGGACCACCATGGCCTAAGGATCTCCAGGTCTCAAAACTCTTCTGCTTCCTTCCACCCTGAACCCTGAGGCCAGCATGCTATTCCTAAAGAACTCTTATCACATCACTCAGTCAGTCAGTTCAGTCGCTCAGTCGTGTCCGACTCTTTGCGACCCCATGAATCACAGCACGCCAGGCCTTCCTGTCCATCACCAACTCCTGGAGTTTACTCAAACTCATGCCCATCGAGTCGGTGATGCCATCCAGTCATCTCATCCTCTGTCATCCCCTTCTCCTCCTGCCCCCAATCCCTTTCAGCATCAGGGTCTTTTCCAATGAGTCAACTCTTTGCATAAGGTGGCCAAAGTATTGGAGTTTCAGCTTCAGTATCAGTCCTTCCAATGAACACCCAGGACTGATCTCCTTTAGGATGGACTGGTTGGATCTCCTTGAAGTCCAAGGGACTCTCAAGAGTCTTCTCCAACACCACAATTCAAAAGCATCAATTTTTCAGGGCTCAGCTTTCTTCACAGTCCAACTCTCACATCCATACATGATCACTGGAAAAACCACAGCCTTGACTAGACGGACCTTTGTTGGCAAAGTAATGCCTCTGCTTTTTAATATGCTATCTAGGTTGGTCATAACTTTCCTTCCAAGGAGTAAGCGTCTTTTAATTTCATGGCTGCAGTCACCATCTGCAGTGATTTTGGAG